ATACCAACAAAATCCAGGTGGCGGCTGATGCGGACTTAGACGAGGTGGCTCGGAAGACAGAAGGGTATAGTGGGGATGACCTGACAAATGTGTGCCGGGATGCATCACTTAACGGGATGAGGCGCAAGATAGCTGGCAAAACACGAGACGAAATCAAGAACATGTCCAAGGATGAGATCTCCAATGACCCGGTTGCTATGTGCGACTTCCTTGAAGCCATTGCCAAAGTCCAACCGAGTGTCTCGGCTATCGACATCGAGAAGCACGAGAAGTGGTTTTCAGAATTCGGGTCAGCTTAGATTTTTTTTTAATAATAATAATTATTATTATTATTATTATTATAATAATAATAAAAATACAGTCTTCAAACCGTAATATACTTGGTTTTACTGGATTTTGGATGAAGATCTTTGTCTGTATGGAACACAAATCCCATTTTATATTCATTATATATATTTGGGTTCTTTGTATTTCATAATACACATATCCATAAATATTTTCATAGCTATAGCAGATATTATGCATCCAAGAACCAAAATGTATAGCATCATATATCTGAAAACTCTATTCTCCATGCAAAGTCTGAAAATTTTGGAAAAAAAAAATAGAGCACCTTTTATTATGTACTTCAAACATTTCACCAGTAGACATTAAAGAATAAGGATACAAATTTAATATTAATCTAATCTTAATATAACATACCTAACTCGCCAATCTTTCTATAGAAAAACATGATCACGCACTCCTAGGAGACGAGGCACTGGACGAGTCGCCTTCTGTAGCGTTTAGGTTCGACTCACCCATAAAAGGGCTAGCATTAATGTCGATATTATTATTATTATTATTATTATTATTATTATTTTTATTGTCGACTTCATCTTTGGACATGATCGGGATTTTCATGGCGGCCCTTTCCATCTCTTTCTCGAGCTCCTCCTCTTGCCTCAATGCCGTGAATTGGCCATCCAAAGACTCGGCGGCACCAAGCCATGCAAGAACGATTAATAAAAGTATGCCACCTAAATAAGGAGTCGAGTTCGCAAGGGACCCAAAGGTTAGAATCATGAACTGCTGGATTAACGCGCCTCCCGATTTCCCCAAAGGATTGCATACAACGTCTATAGCTGCCTTCCCTTTAACCTAAAAACCAATATTCAACGTAACCATTTTATCCGACTCGCTTAGATTCATAAGTCGATTCACATTCAAAAGTATAAAAATTGAAGCTTTTTCAATCACATCCTAGTTATTAGGAATATGAAAAACACACGATTTCTAAAGCCCGAAAATAACATTATTCACCAAATACCTTGGTGTCCTCATCGAGTGGAATGTAAGCCATCTCTTTGCACGGATCAAATAAGCTGTATTTGGCGCTTTTGCTGAAAATGTTCTGCATTGCCCCAACGTACACAGCCGCCAAAAGCGGGCTCATTCCGAATTTAGCGAGGGCCGGGCCAAGTGGGCCCCCGAAAAGAATGAGAGAGAAAAAGGCGAAGCCAGTCACGAGCAAGACAGTTGGCGTGATCTTAGCTGCGACACCCCAACCGTATTTGTCGAAGATCCAACGGCTCAGAAGCATCATGGTAAAAGTGGCTATACCGGTAGCAGTCGAGAAATCGCCCATGAATGATGAGTACTCGTTCGGTGTCGGGAACTGTGAAATTTTTAGATCAGAAGTTAACACAAAAAGGGATCAATTTTAGGAAAACTATCCTTGAAAACAAAGACATTATTGCCCGAGAAAACGACAAACGAAAATATTTGTAGAAATTGAAAGAATACCCTTGCATTTTCGAAACAAATATACAATACTTATATGCACACTTTTGCTGAGGTTTTTTGCAAATTGTATTTGCAAATTGTCTCTTTAACTTTACCTGGGCTTTAAGCTTTGATTTCCATGTAACCTCAACAAGGTTGATGCTAATACCATATGCCACCACAAGAGTTGCCAGATCTCTTATATATCTTGAAGATACTAAAAACTTTAAGCTCTCCATTGTTCCCATTTTTGGCTTTTCCTGAAANACACAATTAACAATCTATTACAGTAAACTTAGAGCAACAAAACACTTTATTTTAATTGTCTTGCTAATTTTTTACCTTTTTCTTCTGGCTACGAGTGGGAAGAGGAACATTTTTATTCACCCACCAATAAAGGAAACATATCATAAGCCCCATCAAAACCACAATACTCATCATTCCCTTTAAAGATACGGCCCAACCATCGACACCGGGACCAAGATTTTGCCTTAGCTGAGAAAAATATTTTACGGTTCGACCTGAGAAAACAAGGGCCACATTCGCACCGAGTCCAAAGAGAGGGTAAAATTTCTTTGCTTCCTCAACAGTTGTGATCTGTAAGAGTGTATTTTTTAAAAAAAGTTATATGACAGAACATAAAATATTATCAGTGACGAGGAAAATATCTACTGAATTAATTAATTACCCATCATAAAAGAAAAACAACAGAGCACAATTTCAGAGGAAAATCAACTTAACACTAAGACAGACAACTAATTCACCTGATTAGCAAAGCCCCAGAACAGAACAGAGATAACAACACTTCCCCAAAGCTCAGCCATCACATAAAACAAGCAGAAACTCCAAATCCTCATAATCGCAAGAGGCCCGATAAACCTCGGGCCCAAAACACCAAGAAGCTTATCTGCAAGGCCCGTTGGATGAAAATACGGGCTGAGAGGATACAACACGAACCCAAACGACCCAAAAAAGGCTATAAACGGAAGAATAACTGTGTAAAAGAGAGCCCTTTTGGACAGCACATTAGCCAATTTGGTGTACAAGAGCATGAACCCAACAGCCATGGGCAAATTCACCCATGTTTTCAAGAAAGGTATGATTTCGGCACTCGAACCCTTAGCAGTCACAACCAATACATCCTTAGTGTCCCTCAAAATTGTGTAATTGAACAGAATACAGAAAAACATCATGCCAAGTGGCATAATTTTCTTGAGGGTCACAAGCTCAATTCCCATAAATTTTTCTGACAAAGGCTCCCCATCAGCTGAAACAGCCTCAGCTCTACAAATGAAATAATTCCTATTCTTTTGGATAGGGAATTGGGGTTTTTTCAAGAATACTTGAAATTTGGAGAAGCCATCAAGAGCTAAAGAGGGATTGCTTCTGGTATGATTTTGATTTACTAAAAGGTTTTTGGGGTTGAATCTGTACCTTAAACTCGGTGATAACTGTGGATTGAAAGCTCCAATTTTGGGGTTTGAAGGCAATGAAAGAAGCCCTTTTGAGTGCAGCATTTTTTTTGAGTTAAATTCCTTCAGGACTAATAAAGATTTGATTTTTATGGACAGGGCTTGAGAGAGAAAGAGAGATTGGAGACCTGAGACAGATGCAAGATTCAGAAATGGGAAAAAAATTGAGGTTTATCAAGAACTTACACAAATATCTTCATAAATAATATAAAAAGATGAAACCTTTACTTGTTGTACATATAAAGAAACCAAGAAATTAGCGCTGTAAACAGCAAAATCTTTAGATGTTAGTCATGATATCAACAGGGTCCCTCAGCTTTTGGTTGTGTTTGAAGAAAAGTAGCACAAATATCTTGGACCAGAAAAAGGGAAAAATACAAATAAAACAGTAGGGAGGTGGAAAAATGGAGGGTCACAAATAAAGAGTGGGAATCAACAAAGGATCTTAGCTTTGATTCTATAAAAGTGCATGAGACACTTGTGAGAGTGAGAGAACAGAAAACCATTAAAGTGCAGTGGCTTTAACGGTGCCAAATGAATATGATGGGGCCAGCCGGCCAGGAGATATTTCCTCATTAGAAAACCATTAAAGTGCAGTGGTTTTAACGGTGCCAAATGAATATGATGGGGCCAGGAAATATTTCCTCGGTAGAATTTGTTTTGACTTGTTGGGTTCTTTCAATTTATTGGAGACCTCCAAGTGGCATTTTTTCTTTATTTTACAACATCGTATTTGGAACGAGGGTGGAGGAGTATAGACTATAGAGTGTGAATATGGTGTTGCAAGTTGCAACCTCAGTATATAGAATACGTAAACTGTGTTGGTAACACAGAGAAATAAATTTTAAATCAAAAGCCATATAAAAAATATATATTTTTGGGGAGTGTCCTATTACCCTGCAATAAATCGATTTACGTGCACAAAGTACAACTTGGACTTATTCGATTGAGACTCCCTTCTAGCTTAGCAAACACTATATTTGATCTTATCAATTATTTTCCTAGCCATAAACACGTGGACTTCAAATATAGCTATGGATCCACCCCAGCTAACAAAGTACTTAATTCATAAGCACTCAAAGAGTTTGCAAAAGAAAAAGAAACTAAATAAAGCTCAACTCTTCGGCAATGTAAGAACGCTGAAGTGATGAGACGAACAAAATGAAAAGAACAAAAAAACCCCTCAAACACTCAGTTGGATCTAATGAATGATGAACTTGATTATTGCAGCAGCTCACTTAATTGATTGTTTGAATAGACATATACAATCTCGTAACTTCACAATTTTTTCCTTGTACTTTTAGGAATAAATTTCATTCTCAATTGATTCCTTTCATATTTGGACGAAATCCTTTATTTAGAGTAAGTTTCCTTGAAGTATAGTTCGTGTATGTGATTTGGAGATCTTTAGAATTGAGTTTCCAATGGAGATCTTGTGTTTCCAGACTCATGTAAGAACACGACTTTTCTAAAATAGTCGATCTTCCAAATCTCAAAAATCTTGCGGTGAATATTTCCAATTCCTCATTATATCTTCTTCAGAACGTCCAAAATCCTTTATGGATGGATAATTCATCCTTTCACAGTCATTGTCACTTATTCTTTGTCCCACAAGAGAGAAAAAACTAATTATAGCATAAAATCAAACTCATTAATCCAAGTGACATCTATGATAAGTAAATATATGTAAGATGTATATTATGTAATCCTTCTTCTAAAGGTTTAGGACTCCATAATACATATTATAGTAAATACACATATATTAATAATAAATACTAGGAACTTAATTAATTTACAAGTAAATAAAGCAGAAAACTTCCTTTTAATTTATTTTGCTTGCCTGACAAGAAAATTTTTTAGAAAACAATTAGGTTTGTAGGACGATGGTAAACCAATATTTTCACAGTATTCATACTTTAATATAAAAAATTTTAAAAATATATTATCCTCAATTCATTACAATATTTTAAAAGTTGGTCTAAAATAATATGTTTGTCCATTGCAAATGGAGCTGAAAGAGTCATTGTTGACAATTCTCCTTGCATAGTGCTAATAATGGACTAGATCAAAATGGCTCAATTAAATTCTAGTACTTCTTGTATTGGTGAAGTTTCTAGAAACAAAAAAAATATATATCAAACAATGCACCTTGGATCGCTACGGAAACAACCTCCTTGTATAATTACAAGGGTAAGGTCTGCGTACAACTGAACCCCAGACCCCAATCTGTTGGGAATATATTGGGTATGTTGTTGTCTAAAATAATATTTAATCAAATATATATGAAAGTTTATAATAAATTATCATTTGTTTTTTTTACATACACAAGTAGATAACTAGTTTATTTTTAATATACAGATCATCTAGACTTAGTATCATATTGTTATCTAATTTTATTTTTTTACATGACATGTTATCTAGACTTAGTATTGTGTTGTTTTCGTGGGAGAATAATTTATTTCTTACACACAAAGGTTTAAAGTCAGAGCTAGATATTTTATATTTTAGTAGCGAGATTTCATCCCAAAACCAATTGGTGTTGGGAATAATAGGCCGACTAGGCTTATATACTATACTTATTTTCTCCATAGAATCAATGTGGACAACTCACGAGTGATATTGCAACACGCCTTTCACTTGTGAGTCTTTCGTAAGCCCAAGCCTAGAAGCAGGCTGGGTAGATATATAGCCCAAGTCTAGAGCAGGCCGAGTAGAGAGAGTCATTGCAGGTCCTAGTCCTAGGACAGGCCCGCTCTGATACCATATTGGATTTTATAGAATCGAGAGACGACTTACAAGTAATATTCCAAGACGAAATAAATCACTCTTTCTTGAAGTGTTTTTT